TGTCCAAAATTCCTCAAATTGATCATCTCAACCTCAAGATGTACGGACATGACAAAAAAATGGATTTCAAGTCTCGGAAATAGTGAATCTGATAATGTATTTTTTTACCGTCAAATTTCAAGATTTTCCAGTGTTCATAGATCTACTCGATTGACACTATTTTTTAAACTTTAAATTTTGTAATTAGATATGAAAATTTTCAGGCCATCACAAAGATTTCAAGTATTGAAACATCTTTCGACTTTATTTGAAGGTGTGCCTTATTTTGATGGTTTAGAACCTCGGCCTTATAAAAACCACACATTTTATATATATATATATTGTTCGCTATCCAGGAAGACTGATCTGACTAAAGCAAGTACGTACCCCTTAGGTAAAATGCTACAGTAATTTCTCGAATGAGCCTAAAGGGTATCAGTTGTCCGATAAAAGATGAGATGGTATACAAAATTTTAATAATTGTTTTTATGTAAATCGGATCAACATGAGATGTAGGGCGTGTAGATCACATCAACTCGCACCCAATAAAAGTAATAAAAAATATTTTACATATTTCAAAATGATGTGACTCCCCCTGGATGTTAGAGGGGTGGTTTGGTTATTTTTATTCCATGAAATATATTTTGTATTTTTGTTATTTGAGCGAGGTAGAAATGCATCTACCCTCCAAATTTAAGAGGAAACAAATTTATCGAAAAATTAAAACTCAGAGCCCAAAATACACTCTTAATGGTCTGATCTCGTCCGACGGTTGATAGCTTTTAAGCCCATGTGAGAAATTAGTTTGTTTGCTTAGATCTGGGAAATTGGGAACGATGTTTTAAAAATCAATGAGTCGCATGACCCAAGTCAGAACCGCATTGATTTGTTCACCTTTTAATCCGTTTCAAGCCCATTTAAGAGTCATTTCAGTATATTGATTAGTGTTTACTTAGATAAGCAACTTGTTGATTCTACACTAGTTGCTTCAGTCTCATCGTATCTGCAAGCTGATCAAGGTAAAAGCCCCTGTATTTTCAACAACAATTAATTGGCTGATTTTTCTTATCAGAAAGTTGCGTTCTTTAGGTGTTGGTCTCCACTAAAAACTGGTTTAAGATATTGCATCAATTGTAGAGATGGAGGGCAAATTTTCTCAAATGAAGCTTGCAGCAAGTCCCTAAAACAATCCTCTATGAATCTCTAAGTAGCTTTGGAGAATCGATATGTTCAGAGATGGAAATTAGTTTTTCTTTTTTACCGTCAACGGTTAGTAGTTGGTAGCAAGTTTTGAAACCGTTGTAGTTTCCGAAAGGGGTTAGCATTGAAAAATCTAGGCTGTTTCTCTCTTTCTTTTTCTCTCTCTCTCTTTATTTCTCTCCCCCTCTCTCTCTCATCATAAATTTCCAGCTAAAATGGATTATTTGCTTCTGATTGTTAATGCAAAATTACCATTTTCAGGGATTTGTACCTTGAGCTGGTAATCACTCTTCCTTCTCACTACTCTGAAAAGCTCCTCAAGCTCTCAATTCATTTTGAGGCTGGTAAGTATTCCGAAAATAATTTTAACTCACACTGAATCAATAAAAATTATAACATCGTGTATTTATTGAAAAATTATTGTCTGCTATTTATACTAATAAATAATGAAGCTTGTATTTTTCTTTTTATCATATGACCTTTAAATATACTTTTAAATTTAGGCTTTTTAGAAGATTATATTCTGGAAATCAAGGTTTTCAGTAGATTATATAACTAAATATTAGGGTTTCCAGTAGCTTATGTAGTCAAATCAGGGTCTTTGGTTTTTGTAATTGTTAGTAGATTATATTGAATCCTGTGGTTTCCAAATGAGGGTTTTGATTTGAAATGAGTGGTATACTGATAGGCAAAATGCATAATGAAATTTTGATTATACTGATTAGACTGAAATTTTTTAGTATATTGATTATATGCAGAAAATTTTATGTACTGAAAATTCTCATTCAGTGGTTATATACTTTGAAAGTTTTCGTTATATTGATTAGACTGAAAATTTTAAGTATATTGATTATTAAATACTCTGAAAATTTTAATTATAATATGTAAATATATTACAATGAGACCAATTACTTTTGATACAAGGATTTCACAATTATCATTGGCCGATAGATTTTAAATAGTTGAGGATGTATCATTGTTTAGGCGTAAAGTCCAAAACAAAATTTCTCGAATGATGTGACAGTTTCATTTATTGGATTTCACATCTAATGATTAAAAGTGATTGTGACCTTGTAACAAAAATAAATGGTCTCCTAGTATAGATCTCTTATAATATTTATATACTTGAAAATTTTTCATTTACTGATTATATACTTATTGGGTGCGGTTTGTATAGAGCCTAGGCTCTAAACAATAAAATTAAAGCCTACCTTCAAATAGTGTCGAGAAATGTGGTTTCAATACTGGAAATCTTTTTTATAGCTTTAAAAAATATTTCACCTTTATTTATATAGTTTAAAGCTTAAAAAATAGTGTAGATCGAGATATTTATGAAAACTTAAAAATCATGAAAATTGACGGTCCAAAAATGTGTTAAAATACACTACTTTCAAAACTTGAAATCCATTTT